GAAAATTTTTTTTAAGGAAAATTGATACTTTCAACTTTTCCTCAAAAACTTTTTTTTTGAAAATTTATTTTTAAGAAAAATTGATACTTTCAACTTTTTTTCAAAAATATTTTTTTGAAACTTTGATTTTCAAGAAAAATTGATACTTTCAACTTTTCCTCAAAAATATTTTTTTGATTTTTATTTAAAGAAAATAAAATAATAAAACCAAAACAAAAATGAAAATAAAAAAAATAAAATAAGAAAAAGTAAAACAAAAATAAAAAATAAAATAAAGGTAAAAAGAATACTAAATAAACTTAATCTAATAAATAAATAAATAAATAAATAAATTAAAAAAAAAAACTTGGAGTGGCTCGGAGTACGGCTCGGCTCGACTCGAGAAAGAAAAAATGGCTCGGAGAAGTGGCTTGGGACCTCGGCTCGGCTCGGCTATTGGCTAGAAAGGGGGAGACACGCGCGGGTCAGGAAGCGGGTCGACACTCGGGTCGGGTCGGATCTCGGCAAAACGCACGGATCCTCTGGGTCACTTAACGCAAAAACGACGTCGTTTTGGGAGGGTATATAAGGCTCTTCCCTCTGTTTTTCGACAGAAATCTTCTCCCCTCTCTCTTTCTTCTTTCTTTTTGTTCTCGCTTCTCTCTAAAAGGCCGAAGAACTCCGGTTGAATGTTCTCCGGATTCTGGATTTTTTCATCGAAATCTGGGTTTTTCGCCGAAAGTTCACCAAAAAGTTGGTCTATTTCTGGGATCTTTCGCCAGAAACTGGGCAGCTCATCGAAAACTTCAAAGTTGATGAGACTCGTCGTCGAAAATTCAATCTTCGTTGGAAAAATCACCGGAATCTGAAAATTTTCCAGAAATTTCCAGAAAAATTTTCACCAAAAATCTCTAAAAAGATTATTTTCGATTCCCACAACTATTCTAACACTTCTCAACCTTCTTTTAGCATTCAAAAACTCTTCTATACGCCTCTTTTCTCTTAAATCAGTAGCTTTTTGCTCCCTATTTTTTTGTGTGTTCTGTTCTGTTCCAGGAGATCCCTTTTATAGGGATTGATCAGAAAAGTTTCTGATCAATCCCTATTCTTTTTTGGACGGAGATTCAATCTTTGAATCCAATCTGGACTCTGATTGAATCTCCATTCTCAGCAAGATTCTTCAACAGGATTCAATCCCAGCCTTCCAAAATAAAAATCACATAAAAAAATAGATAATTAGAAAAATAATAATAAGATAAATAAAAAATAATATTATAAGATAAATAAAAAATAATAATAACATATAAATAGATATATAATTAGATAAATAAAAATACATACAAAATAAAATGAAAAAGAAAAAAAATAAAAAATATATATATTAATAAATAATAATAATAATAAATAATAATACATAGGATATAAAGAAAAATATATACATAAAATATAAAATAAGAATAAAATAAAAATAACAAAAATGTAAAATAAAATTAGACTTACCCATTTGGATCAGGCCCAATTGATCCGGACCTGAATTAAATTAAGTGTCTACACCATAACTATAAAAAAAAAAAAAAAAAAAAAAAACCAAATCAAGGTTTAAAATTGGCGGGAGAAGAATCGGAAGCCATGGCTAGAGAAAGTGTGTTGCAAGAGAAAGGGCATCTTATTTGGCGGGAACTGATAGATGATTTTCGCGCCTTAATTGATATGGGCTTGAATTTTCCCGTTGATTAAGAAAATGGAGTTGATTGATAGCCCATTATTCATACTCCATTTAAAAAAATCAAAAGGCATGATTAGGCTTATATAGCCCATTATGGCTAGCCCATGATCCCGTAATTCACAAATAAACGTATTTTTTTTCTTTGAAATTATAACTTTTTATGAGTAATTGATCCACATCAATTTTTTGAGTGTAATTATTTTTTTAACTAAGTTATTTTGGGAAAGAAAAAAAAATCATACTTTGCGAAGCAAATTATTATTTTTTATATTTGAGACTCTTAAAATTTAAAATCTAATCATTAAAATTAAAAATTCAACACTTCATATTGATAATAAAACAAATTATTACTAACCTTATTAAAATCTAATTACATCCATAGTGGTTAGTCCAATTAATAAAGATAAGCCCTTTTTTTTTATTGTCAAAGTTTGGAGATATGTTTATCTTATTATAAAAAAATTTAATTAGTAATATTTAATTAACCAACAGTTTAATATGAATTTATTTTTCATTGAGATATATTTATGAAGAAAAAACTCTTTTAATTAATTCTTTACCCATATTTCATCAATTGAAGAATTTCCTCAAACACTATTGGTATATTATAAAGATGTAGGATTTTTCTTATAGCAAAGTATTGAATTTTCTTGGATCATTCAAATGAAATACAAATAAAAATAGAGTTGTAGTTATGCTATCTGCCATTAGAGACCTTTAAATACATGGGTAGGTTGATTTTATTAAAAAGCTTGGCGGAGATTGCAAAGGGTTTTTTTTTTGGCATTAAGAAGATTTGGAATAATTGTGAAGATATATGATGAGATTGCATTTCTCATCGTGCTGAAGCCCTTATGAACAGATCATGAATGCAATAATGGACCAATGTTTGGATTTGTTTGCTGTAAAATTAAAGCAGAGAAGTGACAAGCAAAACAAGGAAAGCAAAGGTGAGTACCCAAAGCCCTACGGCTAGTCAAAAACTTGCAAGTCAGGGTCAATGCGTTTCTTTACCAAATCAGCAAACAAACCAACTATTGTAGCCGCAGTAGTAGTACATATTTAATAGCTTGTACCTAAATTTACTATAGCAAAAGGCAATCCATGGAGTAAGAAATGATCTCACATTGCTGTAGCAGCAGCAGAGGCAGCAGCAGCTTTGGTGTTGATTAGGGTTACTTACCACTGTCTAAAAAACTAGGGTTCATCACAACATTTTCTCTCCATGGAATTAGTTTTTTTTTTTTTTTAAAAAAAAGCAAGTGTGCCATGATTTCTTTTACCCAACCTTAGAGATTCTGTTAATAAATTGAGAGAAGCTTTCTGGTGCGTAAACAGCTGTTAGTTAGCTGCAGTCTTTGTTTTTTTCATCGACAAAAACATGGATGAAATTATTAACATAGGTTTGAAGTGTTAATCATTAAATCGTAATCTTACTGTCAGAAAAATGATAATAAACAAGTACAAAGAAAAATAAAAGAAACACATTAGATTTATAGTGATCCTCCTACGATACTTGTTCACATGCAACCGCTGCAGATTTTCACTATAATGAAAAATTGATTACAATAATCAACATTTACTTTCCGGCATGGAAAAGATTTCTGCTTTGGTTTCTGACATTGACAGCAATGAAAACTTATGATAAACATAATAACAGTAAAAATAATGGAAACAACTACCTCGAATATATATATCCCGCTGATGAGTCAATCGAGCGAGTTAAATCAGAGGGGTAATGAAAATCAACCTCATTGAGTCCAACAACGTAGATTATAAGCATACTTTTTAAGGTAAAACTGATAATTATTTGCCATCATATATAACCAATTTGAGTTAACGCGTTCTATAGTTCATGGCTTTGATAGTTTCATCGAGATGATCAACTCAGATAAATATACAATGAGAAGTACTCGCAAAGTGAAGTTTGTAATTAATACCAAGAGATCAGCTGGAGTTTCTTATTTCTAATAACTTTTTGATTTCAAAACAAATAACTGCTTTAAGAATCAATTATAAGTATATAATCAAGTGCTTTTGTATGCAAGACTTTTTAATCAACTAAAATCATGCTTTTACAATGTCTCTTCCTGCATAAGTTTTTTTTTTTTTCATCTCTTTCTAATACAGTTTTTCTAACTATAATAAGAAAGCCATCCTACCTAGAAGTAGAAGTTCATCACCTTAGACAGGAATCCACTCAATAACTTTCAAGTACAAAGGATATGTTCCTTTCTTTTTTTTTTTTTTCTTTTTTGTCATTGTGGGGCATCAATATCTTTTCCTATAGTAATTAGTTTGATTGTGTCTTTACCATAAAAATCAAACTTGAAGCTTACAATGTATTGCTTTCTATTAAAGCCGTTATCATTTAAAATTCACAGTCTTGTTCACCTTTTTAAACCATAAATAACTCATCTCAAACAGCTTAGCTCATGCTTTAAAACCTTCTAAAGCATAAAGTTTTATGCAATGCATGGACAAGAAAACATACTGTAATTCTAAACAGAAGGTCATATATATATATATGCATAGGACAGTATGTAAATTCAATAGTTTAAGTGTTTCAATGCATTAATAAAATAAAAAATTGTAAAAGAAATGTGACAAAGTGTGATAAGTTTGCACATGAAGTGAACCTTCTTCACCTTTCTGCCGTTTTAGCAGCTGGGGATGATCATAACCTGATCAATCCTTTTGCATGTTTCCTTCAGAGCTGATGTATTTTAAATATAGCAAGCTAATTAAGTGTACAGATTGGTTTAGCTGTTTGTCTTCTTGCTTATTCATATTCTCTTATAAGTTCACCTGAATCTGCATTCTCCTTGTTTATGAACTTCATAAAAAATAAAAAATAAAAAGGCTTCTTCTTTCCTGTTTATCTATTTCTCTGCTGGTTTAGGAACCAGCCTGCCACCTGACATACAAATCACTTCTTCCATGTTCAAAACTACAAAGATTTTTAGATGATTGAATTTTTTGTAAGTATATATTTGCTGTATTTGTTTTAATTTCTCAATGCATAGAGTATCACGTAGCTTGCCACATTTTGATATTAGAGACAATATCATATAATTGCAGGCTTTGGAGTAAGGAAACTTAAATACAGAAACTTTGATGAATACCAGATATGTACTAGGGCAACTACAAGTGATCAGATGCTATGAACAAAGAAGGCAGGGAAATGGGAGTTTCTAATTCAAAAAGGTAATTAAAATTGCTAGAGCAAAAAGGCTTTTCTAAAGCAATTTTTTCCTTCAAATTTTGTCTTTTCCCCATATACAAAATAAGTTCCTTAAGATTTTGGGTGGAGGAAAAATTGCGTACCAGCCGACGTGAAAGCATTAAAGGGAGATGCATATGCCAAAGGAAAAAGAGTTTCCGCAGCAATCCAAGTCGAAGTTGTAGGGCTAGTAGCCATTGTTAGAGCAGTAGCATTGATTTGATTTGGCTGCGGCTGTGTCTCTCGAGAGGAGCATTCGCCTAGTGAGTAATGACCTTGATCAGGGCCTTCATCATAGAGAATACCCTTAAACACATGCCCTCCAATACTCACAGCCGTCCGATAAGCATACTGATCAGCTGCATCTTCAATGGAGCTCACTCGAACACAACGAAATGTTGCCGGCGAAGTCACTTCAGCCGGAAAATTTCCCACTTCTAACCCTAAAAAGGAAACCGAATAAAAACGAATGGAAAATTTAAACTAAGTAAATCAACTTTATTACAACAGAAAAAAAAAAAAAAGAAAGAAAGAAAAAGATTAAGACATTGGCAGTTGGTTGCCTTTCCTTGTATAATTGTGTCCTTGTCACAATTTCATTCTCAGTACAGTAGAAAAGAAACAAAAAGAAAAAGAAAAGAAGAGAAGAGAAGAGACCTGCTAGGGTTGCTATGAATATATCCCAATCCCATTCACCAACACGCAAAGTGATAGTCAATAGATCTGTGTATATATATGATGTATGCAAAGTGCAAACTAGTGTACCTGAAGAAGGATTTTCCCTAAGCCTTTTAGGGTTCTGTAATGGGAGGTGCTGTTGTGAAACAGAAGAGAATTGTTGGTGCCTCTGACGCCTTCTATATGCAGGAACCCAAGTGCTTTTGATGTGAGTTTGGCATTCAAATCCTTTGCTCCTACAACAAGTCCTGCACCTCATGTAATCACAATCTTTCTTAGCTTGGTTTCCACAGTCTTGACACCTTGTGCCTCCAAATCCTCCCTGCCTTGACATCATCATTCATTCAACACTTGTATAAAACCCAATAATTTCCTGTTTCCAAAATCTTCTTCTTGATCTTCTTCAGCTTGACAAACCTCTTGTCTTCTTTTATACTACTACAGTACAAGGAAGATGCTTGTCTAGGTGGGTGGTTGAGGTGTTAGAAATGATGTTGGTATTTTATCTTGAAAAGGTTTGTCTTTGTGGGTTTTTAGACATGATATTTTTTAGTTCATGGCTCATGTAATTTTCTGGGGTTTCTCAGTTTTTTATCCCTTACAGAGCTGTGAAACCAGAAAGAGAGTCTTTGTCTTTGGCCTCTCATCGCCAAAAATTAAAGAATTCAAGAGTTAACAAATGGAATCCCTCCAGTGTAAACGCCGCCACAGGATCATCAGCTACTCAATCAAGTGTGGTTGAATTGAATCACTTTCTGATCAGCAGAGACATAAAGGAAACACAAGTAAAACACTAACATAAAGAAATCTATATTATCCTAAACAATTTTTTTTTCTTTCTTTTTGCCCTTTACCCCATATCACCTGTACCTGATTACATTGGTAATGATCATTGTAGTACAATTTGGCTTTTCTCTTTGTTTTTTATTTTCGTGGAAACTGTTAAAAAAGATGAGGAAAAGAAAAGAAAAAAAAATTACCTGTTCCTCAGCATTTTCTCTTTGGAATGGCTACATGATGGCAGTAATAGATTATATATAGATCTAATCATTTAAACAGTTTGATGTTTAAACAACTTCTGATATGGTCCATATTCCCACCTTTCACAGATATGTAACACTGTGAGTAAAGAACTGACAGCGTTCACTTTATATTTGTCCTTTGCAACCCGAAAACCATCCTTTTCCAACCCTTCCCGCTTCATCTGCTGTGGTGGGTGGGTGGGTTTTTTTTGGGGGTGGGGGTTGGGGGGGCTAGATCCCTTGCTACTCCCAGTACTCCTTGTAAATTTCCACCTAAATGGTAGTATGACGTAAAGGGTGAAGTGCGATCTATCTATGATTTTGATCTTTCTCGATGGAACTGGAACCAACTTAATGAAAAAGGAACAGTACTGTTCCTTCTCTTTTAGTAGCTTTCTTCAATGGAAGAAGCAAAGACCCAAAGACTCGAACTACGAGCTAGCTGCTGCTTCCCTCATTCTTTGATTCCATGCCTTGAATTCAAAAGTTTTAAATTTTTTTGGAGACACTTCATCCTTAGTTTTGTCTTTCTTTTCAAATTATGGTTATTTTTCTTTTTTGATGGAATTTGTTCAGAGCAATTAAGTTGTAGTTTCATAACAATGAAAAGGCTTCAAACGTCATGAAAATTCACATAAAATGACCATTTTTGGTCTTATTTCCAGAACTTAGAATTCTCATATTACGTTTATGCAAAGTCTGAAACGATATTCGCATAAAATGCTACTACACTAGCTTTTAGCCTTTTACGAGTCAATAGCATTAATTAATAAAAAAAAAAAAAAAAAAAAACGAAGTCTCAACATTTTGTGTAAAATTGTCTAGCATACACTATAATAAATTTTACCCATGAGTAAATTAAGAACTCTGGTGATTGAAAACTATCAAGAAGAAGAAGAGAACATAGTTTTTTTTTTTTTTTTAAGCATTTCCTGCAACATGGATTATTCCATTGAGGTGAGGATGGGAGAGTCAATGCTTGGTGAACTCACCTTTGGCAATATCTGGTCGTACGATTTCATTTTGTTGTTTTTTTATCAAAGGAATGGCAGTGGCACTGGGAGAGAAAAGAGTCTGGTTGGCGGAGGGATTTTTATTATATTTAGGAATTTATAAATTTGTATAGTGTAAAATATTAAAATTTATATATATTTATATTATATTTTATATAAAAATTATATGTTATAATTTATTTTAATATTAAAATATAAAATATATATTTTTAATTATATTAAAATCATATATAATTATTATTAAAATTTTAAATCGTATCACTTTCGTATTTTATTTTCATATTATATTTATGTTATGTTATTATATCTTGTTTTAAATTATCAGATTTAATTTTTTTATTTAAAAATCTTAAATTTTAATTTAATTATTCAATGAAATTATTTTAAAAAAACATATAATAAATTTAAATTTTAACACTTATAATTACTTATTTTATTATTAGACAAATACCTCTTTCCAAAAAAAAAAAAAAGATTTGGGCATATAAGATGTTAATCAGATAAATTTTTTATTATTATTGGATCCTTGGATTTTTTATTTTTATTAATTAATTAATTAACGCGAAAGGCATAAGTTCTGAACTAATGACAGAAGGAAAATACATAATAAAGAACAAGCATAAATTGCTAAATTTAGGTAGCTAGGTGAGAAAAAAACTAAAAAAATAAAAATTAATTTCAAATTGTAGTATTCAATTCAGTTTAAATTAAATTTTTATTCGATTTGGATCATATTCAAATATTAAATGTATATATTAAGTTTTAATCAAATTTCGAATTAAAAAGTAAAAACAAAAAAAAATAAATCAAATCAAATTATATATTTTAAAATTTTACAAAATAAAAATAATAATTTTATGTCAAAATCTATTTAAATATATTAAAATTTTTATTAAATTAATATATAAAAATAAAAATAAAATTTAAAATTGATAAATCAAATCAATAAAATTAAATTAAATTCAGTTTGAATCATATAAAATTTTAATTTAAATTTAAATCAAATTTTATAAATTTATTATATTAAATAATATTTAAAAATTTGTATCAAATTCAATCCAATCTAACAAATTATCAGCCCTAATTTCAGGTAACTTATAATAGCCTTAATAAATTGGAAAAAATGAACCATGTTATCACATTAAGATTATGTAGGGGAGAAGATTTACCCTTCAAAAAGAAATGAAGAGTTGAACTTAATTGGTAGTTTCCAACTGTACGTCAATGCCTTTTTTTTTTTTTTTTTCTCATTTATCTACCATTCATCATTATCATTATCTCAAAAGGGGCTGAAGATGACAATAGATTCTTTAGTATTATTATTATTAAATTTTTTTTGGCTTTGTCGTTTTTTGGTCTGAGGGGGACAACATGAAAGAGCAATGTTTCTCTTACACGTTTACCTGAAAATCTAATTACAAAAAAAAAAAAAAAAATGAAGTCAAATTCTACTGAGGAAACAAAGAAAATCCAACTTTATTTGGAAATGACATCTGTGGGAGAAGCTGCATGCTTGCTGTTGCTAAGAAAGTGTCTGATGTTCAAAGACAACAATCAATGAGAAAAAAGAAAAACCATCAGTCATCCCCCAATTCCAATGACTACAAACATCTTTAGCTATGAAACTTTATGTATTAAAGTATTATCACTCAACCATGGTTCCATGAACCTATAATTTGATCTTTGATTGATGATCAAATACATTGCATATTCAAGGGTTGTTTGGATTTTTCTTTCAAATCACCACTTTTGTTCCTTTGGGCTGCTCAAAATCATCCTAAAAGTCTCCAATTCTATATGTAGCAATGGATAAGGTAAATTTTCCCCTCCACCTTTTAACCTTTAATACAACTTATATGGCAATTGATTGACTAGGAAGATAGGTGGAAGAGATTTTACTTGAGCTATGATTTGATTGTCACATATGGTTGAACTCAACTATTTCAGTATATAAATTTATGTGTTTATCATTGATTCACTTAGTTAAGCATAATAAATAGTGCAATTAATTACAAATATAATCAATTTATCACCGTTAATTACATATAAAGTTTTGAAGAACAAATTTTAAGTTGAGATTAAACTTAATTCAAAATATTTTTTATTTAAATGTAATTTAAGATATATTTTAAAAACTAATATTTTAATCAAAACAATTCTATACTTCTACACTGCATGTGGTAGGAAACCATAACAATGTGAAATAATGAGCATAAAATTGTGGGATTCAACAATTCAATTGTAAAAAATTATTTAATATGATATTTAAATTATAAATTTATTAATTAATATGATATTTAAAAAATTATTTATTAATCGTATGTTATCATTCGAAGTTAATAATATTAAAAATAAATATTATTTTAATTAATAAATATATAATTTAAATATTAAATTAAAAATATTTAAATTAAAAATATTTAAAATTTAAATATAAAATAAAATATTTTATTATAATTTATAAACCATTCGTAATAGTAACTTTTTTTCCACGTCATTGAACTACTGTTTAAGCACTTCAAGCCTATAAAAGTGGAGTCTTTGAATTTCGACATAGAATGAAAGCACTAGTAATTAAGGGTGTGGGCAGTGGTGGGCAGCTCGGTTATGGGGGTGTGGGGGGGCGGGGAGGGGGGCAATGTGCAGGACTCAGGAGCCTTTGAGTTTTTTGGAAAGCTAATATCAGTGTGTCGCAACAAAATGCAGGAAGGTGGAGGCAGCACGCTACCAAAAGGCGAAGATACAAAATAAAAAAGGTTGTTAAAACGATGAGCAACGTGATGGAAAATGAGGTGGGAATGTGGAATTGTGAATTGACAGTAGATTCCCTTTGAATTATTATTATTATTATTATTATCGTTTTTTTTATTGGCATCCCCACCTTTTTAAATGGGTTACGGACGTTTCCACTTGGTCAAATTATACTAATTACCAAACAGTTCACGGATAAATAAGACTATGACGTGGGCATTTCCCACATCCCTAAATTTAGCCCCCCCTCACCCCCCACTTCATCTATCTCTAAAAAAAAAAAAATCAATATGTAAATAAAAAAATTTGTTTGATATGGATGATCTGTCTGAAAATTACGATTATTTATATTTAATAATTATATCATTTTATTTGATAATAATTTAAAATTTTTATATGATAGTGATTTTAAATTATTAAAGATAATAAAATAATTACCTTGATATATGATATGATTTTTAATCTAATGAAGATTGGTGATTTTTAATTTCATTTTTTTATTAATTTATCCAGATGAAAGATGTACTTAACATTATCTTAGAAAGTTAATTAGTAAAAATTTTTAAAAATTTATTTTTTAATAAATTATTTAAAAAAATTTTCTATTACAATTGAATAAATATTTATTGATTATAAAAATAATAAAATTATTTAATAAATTTTTATAACTTATTTTTATCAAAATTGATTTATATTTTATATTTTATAGTTTTATTTTGGATATTTTATATTTTATGATTTATTTTTCATATAATTCTAAATATAATGATTTAAGATCATTAGTGATTTATAATATTATATCAAATATAATAATATAAGATCAACAATAACTAAATTACTTTGATAATTTTATCATTATGATAATTAGATTACTATAATAATCTTAAAAAAAAAAATCAAACATTACCTAAATGAATCGAGGAGATTTGCTGTTATATTACTCGTTTCATTGTGAGGGTTAATAAAGTGATAATATTTTTTAAAAAATAATAAAAATAATAAAATATATAATAATTTTTTAAATTTATTCATAAAGCTAAAAATTTTATTACTAAATTTAAACTAATTCATAATTTAAAATCTTTCTCATTTATGTTATTATAAGAGATTATTATCCATTAAAATATTAAATTTCTTTTAAGAAGATAGATTTGAATTTAATTTTTTAAAATAAAAATACATATTATATTTTATCATTTAATCAAATACCCAAATGCAAGATAATGATTTTTTAATTCTCAACATAAAATCAAAGCTAAGTGGAACCATATAGTTACATACCATACGCTAAACAAGCAAATGAACGCTTATTTTGATAGATATCCCTGTCAATATGAACAAAATCTTTTGTTTTTTTTATAATTTGCTTCGCAAATATCAGAATTTTCGAGTCATTCAAGACAAACAGTCAATGAGATGAAAAAAATTGTTAAAAAGTGAAGGGCACTACGAGACGATAACATTGTAATCTGTCGAGCAATGGGTCAATGTCATATCTTTTTTCCACATTGAATCAGAATCCACGGCGATGCTGACTGTTGAGTGTTGTTGATGGTGCTTGTTCCCTTTCAACCCCCCTGACCTACTGCAGTTTGGATGGCCAAAGTTTTCCAAGATTACTCTGGCTTGTCACGTGTACTTTTTTAGACGAAGGCTGGCCAGTGGCCATGGTTCGTAATGATGAACTGATAATACTGCACGTACCACTTAGGGAGTTGGGACGACCTTGACCCTTGTCTCGTTCCAGGCTTAAGATTGGATTTGGGCCATTCTAGATTAGGTTTTTGCTTGAATTACTGGAAACTTGGCAAATAGTTGCAGGGATGATAAAGATGGATGAAACCGATAATTGATTACAGAAATATACTAGGTTCCGGGCTTAAGACCCTACTGTTTCTCAATGCCACCAGCATAACACAAAGAATCCAATCAAAACATTCTTGGAAGAAGGTCAGCCCTGTTTGCTCTCTTTTTCCTTGAGGGCTTGTGTACTGGGTTTGTTTTGATTCTTGTTGATATCACTAATACTCCTATTTTCTGGCCAGAAAAAAAATTCTTTAGCTCATAGAGAAGGAAACTCATATAATCACATCCACATCAATTCATAATATATGTCTAACTGAAGAACAGATTTCTCCAGCATTCAAGCTCAATCTTGGACAATCAATACTTTTATTTTTTTCAGGCATCTCTCTTCACAAGAACCAAGCCATTACAATTGACTTTTGAAGGGCTACAGGGCAACACACCAAAGGTTTTAAATTGACATGGATTTCATTTTCATTGTCAACTATGTAACTCACATCACACACCCATTTTCCCCCAAAATTCTCGAGATGTGACTTGAACCATTTAAACAGCCAAACACAGTGATGTAAACAGCATACAAAAAACTTTTAAGATGCTTGATGAACCTAATCAACCATGACATATCCTTGTTCTAAACTATATGAAACTCCTGTAGATATCCATTTCCCCTGAGATATTTTCAAACCAATTTCTTTACAAATATCAGAGTTGACCTTTACACAAACAACTTCAGGCCCAGAACACACTCTCTATGGCACATAATTAAGTCAAAACAACATCAAATGGACGCAAATAGATTCATTCTGGTATTTGGCGATCTCAACATGTTTATTTTCTAAAAGTTCATCAGAATTATCAATATTCAACCAACCAAAATCACAGAAGAAAAAAGAGAGGCAAAAAAATTAGAAGAGCACCATGGGGGTTACAGCATAAACTTTTATAAACACTAACATAATACTTCGGTTATTAACAACAAAATGAGCCAAGTCAAATTAAATTAAACCTAATGATTGATAACTACAGTAATTACAACTTAAAATCAAATGTAGATTCCAACCAGTACCCAATTGAAGATGGCGCATTTCATCCATGAATCACCTGCAAAGTTGCTAACTTTGTCTCTCTAGAAACTGTGCTTCAATCGAAGCCCCTGCTTGCCATAAACACACCCAGGCTTCACATACAAAAATGGTGACTTTTTTGAAGTATGCATCTTGGCAAAAGCCCTCTTCCCTAATTTCCTCATCCTTTGCCTACCAAATTTCCCACTCAATGCCCGTGGTACCAACTCATCATCCAAATCAAACCCATCATCCTCATAGTCATCCTCCTCCTCATCATACCCATCACCATCATCCTCTTCTTGGTCACCAATGTGTGGCTCACCATACCCATTACTGAATGGCTCATAATCAAGGTGATGATGATGATGATCATCATCATCACCATCTTGAATCAGGTGAGGGATCAGGCTGTCCTTTGGGGAGGAAGAAAGGGAAGAGTGCCAAGAAGCATCAGAGAGAGATAGGACATCATCATCATCAGAATCAGAGGAGTTAACGAATTCCCAATAAGAAAGATCATTTTCTTCTTCTTCTTCTTCTCCTCTGAAGAAAATTCCTTGTGGGTCTTCTTTCACGGTTGGGAAAACAACAACCTCAGATCTGGTTTCCTTCTCCATTTTCACTCCTTTGTTGGCTTGTTTTTCACTCGTAATTTAGTGATTGGTAGGTTTCTCTCTGAGTCTAAAGTTTCTTAAGCAATCCATTCCTGCCTTTGGAGATCTTTTAGGAAGGTACATGTTGCGGATCACGTGTCACTTTCTTTTTACATCGGTCCACGTCTTGTCAACCAATATCTGTAAGCCACGTGTAAAAGTGATTCCCTTCCCTCCTTCGCCTAGAAGTTCTCCATTTTTCCTTTGTTTTAAGTTTTTTAAGAGAAAAAAATAAAGGAAAAAAGAAAAGTTGAATTCCTCTTTACTTTATTTTTTTTTGGATCCTCCTTTTCTCTTGCCAGACTAGACTCCGATAGCAAAGGGCATGGGTTCTTTAAAACTTGGCCTAATATAATGCACATAATAGTGTTTAAAAAATAGTGTAAAAAATTTCATAAGAAGATCTGTTTGTGTGTATTTTTTCTAACCAAACGGTTAATTTTAATAAAAAAATCGTATATTATTATATACTTAAATACAACAAATTTACAAAATCAAAGAAATATTACTATCAAACAAATCTTAAGTTTTTCTTTTATAATTGAAATTATTGGAGATTGAGCTCAAATCACTAATTTAGTTTATATTTTGTCATCAAATCACGGTTGATATTAAAAAAAAAAAAAACTAATTTTGTATGCAATTTTAATTGCAAATATGCGACTGGCAATAGATGAATCATCAACCCAGCTCGTTGCATGTGCTTGTCGTTTACCCAGTCATTTTTCTTTTTAAAAGCTTGCAATGGAAAATTATGTTTATGAAAGCAAAATCTATTTTTTTCGTATATACTAGCAATCAGAATGCTTTACACTCATTCCCACCAACACTCACGCTAAACAAACCAATGCTTCGCTTCGGATGTACGGTTGGATGAGCGGTGAGAGGAATTGAACCGCATCCCCTACCGTCCATCCAAATGACGAACAAGTATCAAAGGCTAAAACAACCATTGCTGAATGCTGATCCATGATTCATAGCCATTGCCCACTTCTGTTGCAGGGAACCTAAATAGGAAACACAACCGGGAAAGTAAACAGAGAAAGAGGTAATGCACAAAATATACAAAAAGTTTCAGGCATTTAAATAGAAAAAATATAGTTTTGCTGCCAATCAATGAAAACTTAAAAAGCATCACAGGAAGTAGGCAGAATTGCCAGACGACATCCGCATATATTGACGTGTGAGTCATAACTATTGCCATCATCTATTTTAACAAGGGCCTTGCCCGTGAAAGAATAACGAGAATAGCCAAAATCAAAATTCCCAAATTGTTTATTAGATTGAATATAATAATGAAAACAAAAGGCTAAAAAAGTAAATGGTGCAAACAATTTAATTCGAGATGAAATTTTCTTCAGCAATTTTTACCTTCTACCTGAAGATTGAATCAATCAACATGACCGGTTCTGCTGTTCAAAGGATGAGTAAGATGAAGTCTGAAACAAGCCTCAATTTAAGCAGCTCAATCATCGTATTTGTGAAGGAGAACAGAGCAACCCAGAAGCGTCTGCCCCTACCACTGCAAGATCACATACTGTACACAATTGGCCTTCCACGTTAGGCACAAAACGAGTAGTGCAATATGGGCAAGACACATCCTTCTGTCCTCTGTAAATTGGCACATAAGTTGCCCCACATGTCACAAATGGGTTTCTGAAATCATAGTTCAGATGAGAGGCATCGGTCATATTCCTCTCGGCGGCTTGTAGAACTTCCCTCGCTGCCTTAGCTTGATTCTCATTTGTGGGGTTTGTTTCTAGTAGACGTCTGGCAAAGTTAGCTGCTGTAGCCAGGTTCTTTGCCTTGTACCAGACGGTCATTGCATTTTGCAGAGCAAGTCTGAGGTGAGGCAATTGAAGGTTGCAGTGGGTGAAGTATGCAGCAAGCTCCTGTTGGCGCACCGGATTGTCTTTCATTTCTCTTCGCTTAAGCTCCATCTGCAAACCAAGAACATACTCCTTAGCGATAATAATTAACTCCTTGACTCCACAACAATCAATGGAATTGTATGAAGAATGCTGAGGAAGAGCCGAAGCGCCTCAGTAAATTTTCCAGCTGTTGTGGCCTTGTAACCAGCCTTCAGCTTTTCATCCAACTGAGAAAAATTGAACACAAGAGCTGGTGGACACCTCACATTAGGACTAACAGACTCACTCCATCCCCTCTCAACTGCCAAGGACACCACAGGAGCAGATGAAAATGCACGAAGATAGCTATGGCTGCCAGCATGAAGATCAAGAAACATGGATTTCAAAGGACCAAAGTTTCTTATGCCAAGTTGCCTGCTCAGCAAACGCGTTGCTGTATCAAAATTGCCAGCTGCTGCATGTTCAGCAGCAAGGGATGATCTTTGAATCCAAATCTGACTTACAAGCATACCTGGAGTTGGTGCCACAAAAACAGAAGAATGGGCACTACTGGAAACCTTTTGGGTGTCTGCCTCAGGGGGAAGTTCCAGATCTTCAAGGTCCCATCCACCCTGCTCGTCATTTTCTTCAGCCATTTCCCCATCCTCCAAAATTGCAGTAACATCCCCATTCTGTAAGCCATCAACATCAACCACATCAAGATCTTCACCCCAATCACCTTCTGCACCCTCCTCCTCTTCATCCACAGCACCCCTTCCAATACTATCCAATCCACCATCAAATATGCCCTTCACGACTCTCAGAAGGGGCCAATCACCACCACGCGTAATGGGGGCTGGAGGCATCAATCGGGAAGGTTTTTTCCCCTCTGGCAGAGGAGGGACATCATCTCCCAACTCAGCTGCTAAACTTTCGGCCACATCCTGTAGCCCATGGACGGATGCTGTAATATATGCAAGAGGCAAGTGACCAGCATTCTCCAAGATCTTAACACGTTCCTGGATATCACCAAGATCTAAAGCATTGTGAAACTGACCCATAATATCGTTCTTAACTTCTGCAATTTTCAGCATCTTTGACAGCTTTTCTAGGTTACCATTTATCAGATAGAGAAAAGACAATCTCTCAAAGTTCTTTGTCGTCTGGTAGGCATATTCCACTATACCTGCATTGCCTTGGCGAAGGGCCTCCACACCCAACCTATACCAATGATCTTTGTCATCAATCTCCTTAGCTGATGCAACAGCAATTTGAATGTTCCCACTCCCTAGAGCCAAATTAAAGCGTGTTTTCTCATCTTTCACAAAATGGAGAGCCACTTCAGGAAACCCCTTCTGTTGCAGATAAGCAATCATGGCCTCACCACAAAGCTGGGAGTTTCTTATCATGCTCATAACATGATCATATCTCTTCCGAAGCAGAGACAGCTTGAAAATGTATTCTGTAGCATCAATGACCATAATTTTATTCTTGCCATTACGATCCAGGCAGAATATGGTATTTCTGGAAATCTTAGTTATGTATATAGGAACATCAAGTGTTCGGATTATTCCACTATCTCCATTGGGAAGGCAGTATTTTATATGGTTTAGAGTGGTGTAAATAAAAACACCATTTTCATCTCAGGCTCCACTCTTAACACGTATTGTCTCATGAAAAGTGCACTGGTGCACAAACTTCTTGCTTGTAATGGTAATGGAATGCTTGCTGAGCAAGGCAACACTCTCCATGTCATTAGACCAAACAACGTACTTCACAAAAGGGGTTTGCAGACCACCAAGAACAAGCCTCTGCTGGAGATCAAATATAACTACTCTATCATCTGACCTACACAACAAGTTACCTGTTCCAGCATAAAATATTGCATCCGTAGGAACTGGGAGGCCACATTTTTTAACCACCTCATTGTTTAAATTTTTTATTAAGACTTGGTTGTTGCCTTTGTCAAGCACGGCAAACCGATTCCGAGCCACAAATATAGCAGAATTACGAGGACCTCTCTTTGCCTCCTGCAAACTGTCACCCCTACCAATGCTGTCTTTTGGTATCACATACAACTCATAAGATCCTCCATCCACATCTAAGCAGATAAGAACAGCATTTTCTGTAGGACTGTAAGAAAGAGTCCTTGGACTTTGATTCAGGTTTGTGGAACCAGACCGTCGAAATGGAATTAATTGTGCCTATCTTTGAGTTGAAAAGTCATAATACCTTAAAAACCGATCCTTGGCATAAAATAGAGAATCCCCACTCACAGCAAAAGCAGGTCGTTCTCTCTAGCTTAAATACTATCATGCCACCGTCATGTCCAGCTGCCAAAAGATTCATCTCAGGATGAGCAGCAAGAATCCAGAACCTGTCATGTTCTCGACGGAACGTTTGAAGTCCAGTTCGCTTTGTTACATCCCACACACAAATACTTTTATCCTCGGAATTAGATACAATGATGTCTTGTTTGGCATGGAACATAACACATGACACATTATTCATGTGCCCTCTCAAGGTATCCACTTCCCAAGCCTTTGTATCTGCAAATAAATAGACAATAATTTACTTAATCCGACAATAATTCAGGAGTATAAATTCCCTACAGGACAAAAATTTCATTCATCTGCTTAGCAGGTTGTATTTACACAGCCAAGATAGTAAAATAAAATGAAGAAGTTGAGGTAGCTTGATTCAAACATCAAGGGCCATGTAGCATATATCAAACTTAAAGAAAAACAAAATTAGGTAAGGTAAGGTTTTATGAATATTTTAATTGGTCAACAAATGCATTTACAAAAAGGTTTAATCGATAAATTTAGCACATGGAATATAAGTGGAGAGGTATGCAAAGTTTGCTATAATTACCATTCATACGCCACAATTTCACTTGGCGATCATCTGCTCCGGAGACTATCAAAGGTAAGGTGGGATGAAATGCAGCCCAATTTACTCCTCGGTCATGACCTTCCAACACATACTTAACAACTGCATCGACACCACCAAAAAGATCTGTGTTCATCTGACTCAACCGTAAAATGTCATCTGCCGGGGAGGCAGTCTTCTTTTTCAAGGAACCAATATCCCAAACTCAAACAGTTTGATCAAGGGAGGCCGAGACAACGAGGTCTTCTTTAAGATGGAATGAGGCACACATAACATAATGATTATGACCAGTCAACACGGAGATGCAAGTTCGTGACTGCCAGTTCCATATGCGAATAGTCTGATCATCACTGGCACTCACAATCCATGGATGCTCATGATGAAATTGCACAGTACGAATATAATCAAGATGTCCAAGAAGG